AATAAGACCAAGACGAAAATGGAATATGGTGAGAATAAGACCGAGACTGACCGTGACCAAGACGGCTGGCTTTGTTTCGGTCTCAGTACATGCCTAGCCTATTGTACTGTATAAAGTATAAAATTACATATAGGGTGTCCAGTAAATCACGAAACAACAAAGAAACTTTTTTTTATTTATAACTATATGCTTGCATTATTAAATAATCTTATGTGACGGTAAAATAGTAGACTTAAACTAAGATCTACTATTTTAATGATTACATAAGGTTATATCATAATGAAAGCCTAAAGTTATAAATAAAAAAAGGTTTCTATCTTGTTTCGTGATTTACTCGACACCCTGTACAATACTCAATGCAAAAAAGAGATTAAGCCATACAGCAGTAACTAAATTTCGTTATTGAACATTCATTAGCGAACGTTTCTGCATTTTAAATCTTTCCCTTTTTTTCCTATTATAACAATACCTACCAATACCAAAACTGACCAATACCAACACCAATACCGACCAATACCACCAATACCAATACCCCAAAACCGTACTGGTATTGTTACATCCCTACTCAGCAACCGTAATACTTTCAGTATTACTGTTGCTGGGAATAGGAATAGATGGAAAATTACTGCTACCAGTAATCGAAATATATACAACATTTGTATTACTGGTAACAGTAATATTAATGTGCCAGCCCTATTTCCTAGATGCAGTTCTCAATGCAGAATAAGAGAGAATTTTTTTTTGAGCAGATCTAAGAGGATCATGATGACACAGTGATCCAAAATTCAGTTTTTCGGTTGTGTTATGAGAAGCGCACCAAGCAGTTGCGAATGTTGGTTGAATAACTCGAAGTCCAAAAGCGCTCGAGTTTTCGCCGTTTTATACGGCTGCATTTGGAACGATAGTTCGTTTGTTTCCGAATAAAACTAAAACAGTTTTTTTTGTATGTTAATCAACAAAACAGAAACGCTGTTTTCTGTTATCTGTAAAAAAAGGTTTTTCACTTGTGTTTAATAAAATCAAGCAGTTAGTCAATATGGGAAAGACAGGAATCATTGTTCTGTTTATATGTGCAAGCTCTCTCTCTCGCTCTGATATAATGACCACTCCTAAATCATATTCATCATATTAGGCTTTCATTTGAATATAAATAAAGTTATGTTTTGTTGGATTTTGAGCTCGTCCAACACACTATAAAACGAGTGATATTTATGCTAATGCAGATAAGATCCTCCAATCAAAAATTCTTTGCCAATGTCAGAGGAGAAAATTTCGGTTGCGGATAGAAATATTCAAATTTGTATGCTCTTTCCAGCGAGTAGTATGAGAACGCTCGATAGTATTAGATAAGGTCAGATTTCGCTGTTCTGGCATCCTTAAAAACGCTTCAATTCAGAACTTGTGGGTGAGGAAAAACTGTGTTCGGAATAATTTTTACACAGGGCGACAAGAGTCTTTACATACCTTCAGTAGGACTATCGACTGTATTCCCATCCGCCGCGGAACGATAACAGACACCATAAACTATATCCGCGGCTGGTTGGGTGTGAGACACTATACTAGGTTGAATTGTTCAGTACAGATTTGGTAGATGCAAGTTTCGTTGGACTGTAGGGTACCGGTTTGGTAATTTGGTAGGCTGGTACGGTGATTTGGTAGTTTTATAGCTTGCCAGCTTGGTAGGCCGGTATGGTAGCTTGGTAGCTTGGTAGCTAAGGCAGACAGAGAGGTGTGGATGTCTGAATTTTCTATTCCACGGTTTGAGATGAGATGAATTCATCCTTCGCATTCCGTTTGCCGTTCAATATGGGCAGCGTGGAATAGAAAATTCAGATACCCAAACCTTTCTCAGCCTATCAACCAACCAAGGTACCAAGCTACCATTCACTGGCTAGACGGGACGATAATAATGGGGCTCTGCTCCTTTGACCTGTCTTGGTTTTAACTGTTTGTTGCATCAATAAATAAATAAAGTTTAAAAAAGAAAAAAAAATTAAAGCTAAAAAAAACAACGATCGGTTAACTCATTTGTTAGTGTATCAATCGTAGACTGCTGTGGTGATTGGGTCCGTTGTTGAAAAGGTAAATAAACCATTTCATATAGACTAGAACTGTCCTCTGTGATTATCGTGGGCGAAGGAGCAGATTCAGGAGATATTGGGGGCGCTTCGCGATATAAGTATGTATTTGTCTTAGTAGATAGTGCGTTAACTGGAGGAGGAGGTGGAGCTCTCTTTGAAACGGAAATCAGTGGAGCATACGCAGAAGACAAATCTGTGTTATAGTAGCTTTGAATATCTGCCGTTTCGAACGCCTTTTTGTCACGGATCCGTTTAAACACATTCACTAATTGGGCGAACGTTGGTCGCAGCTCTTGCTGTTGCCGTAAACATACTTGTATAATGTTATCGTAGTATGCACGTGGACAGGACGGCGGACACATGAGTACGTATGGCTTGTTTGATTTCATGTGTTGTTTAAGAGCTTCAAATGACATTCCGGTATAAGCATCTTGTCCTTTTTTCCACATGACTGTCATAGAGATAGCAAACGACCAAATATCGGACTTTATTGTACCCTCCTGGTTTTTAAAGATTTCTGGAGCCGATTCTCGTTGTAAATTAGACGTCGCATTTCGCATTGCTGATCCATAATTTGCAATTTTTAGTAATAATGCTTCATGTAATTCACCTTTGACCAAGATATTCTTGCATCTTAAATCTCCATGAAACTGATTGCAGCGTTCCAAATAAGCCATGCCACGACTTATTTGTAAACAAAAGTTGTTTAATATTTCCCTTGTAGGCAATGAGCTTGCCTTCTCCAACCACGTTTTTAAATCTCCGCCTGACATGTATTCTGTTACAATCAGTGTTTCATTTGCTTTAGGATCCCAGCACAATCCATAAAATGCAACAAGATTCGCATGTCGTACGTTTTTTATAACATCAATCTTGAGAGAAAATTCACCTGATGTATTGAATTTTCGAATATTTACTTCGACCGGTTGAGGACTATTTTTCATTTCCCACCATGCAAACCCGCCAGCAGGCGCTTCAATGTTCAGCTCATTAAAATCAATTCGCCATATAGCATCTTCATCTGTAATCCATCGTCGAGCGATAGGACGCGATAACTGTATTTTTTCCAGTATTTTCGGATGCTGAACTAGCTTTCGAAATGTTGGAAAAAAGTAGTGACGTAACTTACTTTCATGAGCGAGATAAAAGCAGTTATTTTGTTTATTGACTCTAATAACGTAATGTGTCGGCAGTGTATCTTTATGATCCCTCGATTGATTCACACTCAGCACATACGCTTTCTCATCTATACTACTATAACGTATCAAATATGAAGTTCGTATATTCTTCATCAAACAACATTCGACAATACCACGGTCGCGAACACCTAGTCTCAGAGGTGTTTTATGATCCTCTTGAACGAGTGAGCTTTTTACACAGATAGTCTTAAATGTACGTAAATGTTTTAAAATGAGTTCTTTCTCATCTTGAACCGAATATGCATCTGCATTCGCTATAAATTCGAACTCATCGTCCTTCTCAAACGACGCGTCTAACATATAATCGGAGAAGTACGACTCACGTGCAACGTAAATTGGTTTGTATAATTGTATTGGTTTAGATATTGGTTTATACGCAGTATACATACTGTGGCTATAATGTTTACAGCAGCGTTTTTTTCACTCTTGCTCTTCTTGATACACACAAGTTTTACCTTCTCTTATACATTGTTAGCTTTGAAAATTTGATAAAACAGAAAATAAAAGTAAGATTTACAGCTCTTATCAAGCACTGAGTTTTATTCTACCTTTGCCGTCCGTGCTTTTAAACGGTGTAGCCACGAAAATACGAGCATATTTTAATCAGCAATATACCAAGACAAAAAAATTTATTTTTGTCTCTTTTCTTTGCTTAAACCATTTTTTATGCCGCAATAATTACTTATCAGCATTGAGAGAAGTTATGTAGATATGAGATTTCGAATAACTAGCTTCATAACCTGCCGCGACTAGCTATTAAAAATGTAAACATATTGAAGCGATTTAGCGGGCGCTGCTGCTAGCCAGACTAGTTTCGATACCCGCTGGAGCTAGCTACATCATGTACACACTATAGAACGGGCGCTGTAGTGCCCACTTAAGCTAGTAACGAATTGGATACCACGATTTCCAACTAGTTGGAGCTAGTTGAAAATCGCACACAGTAACTTGGTTTTCCATGAAGGAAGTATTTCTCAGAGTTGCACCTACCCAGGTCAACGGTCGCGACTAACTCGCGACGCGATCGCTATTATCTCGCGGAGAGATCGCTGTACTTCAATATTAATGCATTTTTTGCCCTTTTAGACTTTTATCCGATAATTAGAAATTTACCGTTAAATTAATACATTAATAATTTTAATGTAACTCTTATCCATTTCTCTCTGTTGTTGCGTGTGATGAACAAACAGCTCTTTTGCGGATTCGGTGCACTTTAGATGCACACGATATTTGTACTATTCAGCTGTTTATTCTGATCGCAAGTCTAATAATTTTCAAAGTGTCTCTCCAGAAAACGGAATGACTCCCTTGAGATAAACACTGTCATATATGTAACTGACAGTGCTCTACAAAAACCGCATGGAACCTCTTTGACAACTCTCTAGCAAAAACGTTCATAATCGAAAAATATCTCGTTCCAATTTTCTTCACTTATACTTGATATAACAAGAATTTGATGAAAAAGTAGATTTGAAAAGTGTAGCATATGATCAACTGAGAAATATTAATAGAGAGCAATTAGCGTGTTCCACCTTGAAGGAAAAGTTTCTCAGGGTCGAAACGACAAATGCTTCGAGAAAAATAATCTGCATGACGCACCTGTCCGTCATTCGAAGCTTCATATGAATATAATCCTTCACATATTTGTTGTATTATTGGATCGAACCCAGCATTATTATGTTTCAAAGCAATATGAATACGCCATTAGTAACCCGATGGAAAGTTCACTACAGGAGCAAACAGTAGACATTTTCGAGATAACTGTACTATATCTTCCCATCAGTAAGAGACCTATTATTTTCATTCGAGATTTTTTAAAGATGATAACGTTCTGTTTCTAAGACTAGCTATTTCTTATACCCTAGGATGTGCTGTGTTTGTAAGATCGCGATTTCTGGTGCAATAATGACTGTTATTAAGGAAGATCGATTATATTCGTTTTTCATAAAAAATGTCTCCGATTAATATTCAGTTCCGCTATATAAAAGTCACCGACAGTTGATTCTTTGTTGAAAGCCTCTGCATTTACTTTCATTGTGTTTTGAATTTAGCATATTCTGTTATTCTTCTCGATTTCAGAAAACTAATTCTGTTCCTTGTGTTAATCGTTTTATTTGACTGCATTGGAAAAGCAATCACTT